TCCGTTCACCACATTCTTCTCGTCGATCCTCATATAGATCTAGGACTCCACCTCACTCTATTATCTGTGATCCGACGTCAGAAGAAGAAGAGGGTTTTGTATTCTCGGATGCAGAAATTAGATACTGGATGGAATCCAGCGAAGCAGAGACATCGCAGTACTTGTCTATCAACTGTATGCCACATGCCGTCTACAAGCCTACGCGAAGGCATTCGCACAGGCTATTTACAACGCAGAACGTCGCTGTAATTATTTATCAACAGAACGCTATATGTCATTACCGAGCCTGCGCGTAGGTATTCGCACAGACTTCCACAAGACAGATGTCGCAGTACTTAACTTTTTAACTTGAACGTTATATAGTTACGCGAAGTACTATTTACAGATGAAGAGCCTATTAAGGATCTTCAGGCCGACTACCTACATCAAGGGCATCAACGACGTTTCGCAGATCATCACAGGAATCACCATTTTGTTATATATTGCTAGGTATGCAATCCCGGACTACGATACGATTATTTACATGCAAGGCGCCATACAGTCACACCAAGTTGACCACTACGCAGTTCTGCAGACAATTCAATAACGGTATTGAGCAGCAGCCTTGTTACAGCTAGTCAAACACATAATCGTCAACGATTTCCTGAGAAGAAATATGTGCAACAAGTTCAGCATTAATTCTACAAATTTGACGCTGCATTGATGTATGCAGTGTACAAGCTGACAACTTGCAAGTTTTATTGAGCCTATATATAAGGACGACGGCATTATCTTCAAGACTGAAGTTACATTCACAGCAGCCAGGAAAATAACCTACCCAGCATTAATATTACAGGGCGAGATAATTCGCGCCGGAAGATTCGCGCGTTTACCTTTAACCCTCGTAACACGTGGTCACTCGTGTAACTTCGGGAAGTTACGGACAAGACCCACGATTGATCTAATATCAACGACGGCACTAAATTATACAAGGTTCCTGCTACACCCGGTGGCATCACAGCGCGGGTACACTACAGAATCAAAATGCCTTGTTCTGATTGGACCGCGAGGGACAACGCCCTACACAGAGGTCGATCATAGTTCACAGTTCAAGACATAGGTTGCAAGTGACAACAACATATCAGTGAACGAGCAAAGCCTCCATTACAGTCCAGTTAAACTGAACCTTCATGACTGGGCTGCCTTCATGAGATTAGAGACCTCCCCTGTCAAGTAAGGACGAGGGCACGGCAGTCAGGCGATTTTTTACATAAAGTTCAACGATGGCAATCACCCCTGGTTGCTCACCTACATCGTCAAGGACTTCGCAGCGCATTATACCTCGACGTCGGGATACAAGTGGATCCAGATCCACAGCGTCTCAGACTACAGTTGAACTTCATCATCAAGCTACTAACACAACTAGGATGGTTAGTAAATCTACTTAAGTTGGACCTAGAACCTAGCAAGATCTGCAATTTCTAGGTATTTGAATTGTAACGGCGCAGAATCGTATATTTGTACCGGAGGACCGATGGATCAAGATCCAACAATCAATCCCACAAGCCTTACTCTCTCCGCTACCACTACGACAGTGGCAGCGCCTGTTGGGGTTACTCACTTCAGCTCAAGACATGACAGTCAGAGACAGACTACAATTACGTCCGTTGCAAGTCCTCATCAATTCGCATCTCGAGGACTCTCTACCGTTCAGTCTACCGAATCACGTCAAACCTCACCTACTATGGTGGACCAAGAGATCGAATGTTTGCATAGGCGTCTCCGTAATAGAGCCGGATTCGGAATCACATCTCTACGTAGACGTGTCACTACAAGGTTGGGGAGCTCATCTCGCCAACAGGACGGCATCAGGGCTATGGAGCAATCAAGAGAGCAAATTACACATATATCTGCTAGAGATGCAAGCAGTGATAAACACCATAATGCACTGGAGCAACTTACTACAGAATGCTCAGTTGATGATACTCACAGACAATTCGACAGTGGCGTTTATGTGAACAAACAAGGCTCAACCAGGTCCCCGAACCTATTGACTCTGTTTTCAATTGTTCGATTTAATCAACAATGTCAACATACATGTCAGAGCATGTCACATTCCAGGAGCAAAGAATGTAATAGCAGACGCTCTCTCTCGGCCACACCTACCATCACCAACAGAATGGATGCTCCATACAGAGATATTCGCACAAATTATCAAGGAAATAGGAGCTCCACTAATAGACCTATTTGCCACTTGATTCAACAATCAACTGACAACATTCGTATCACCAGTTCCAGACCCACTAGCATGGGCAACGGACGCACTAAGCATATCATGGGAAGGACTGAACGTGTACGCGTTCCCGCCGCCAGCGTTAATCCCACAAGTGTTACTCAAATCAAGCTAACTCAAAGCCTCCAACTCTTTTGGTAGCGCCCTACTGGCCAGTGAGAACGTGGTTCCTACTCTTATACAAGAAATCGGACAACCTATACTACAACTTCCAAAGTGCCCGAATCTGTTAATACATCCGCACACCAAACAAGCACACGGAAAGCCAGAAACATTCCAACTTCACGTATTGACTGTATCAAGGCGTGTCTAAATAAGAGAGGTTATTCAGCCAGAGCGGCAAAGCAGTCACGCTTGCCTTGCATAACTCCACTCGCAACTGATACGATGACAAATGGCACAGTCTTGTCAATTATGCTGCAAAGAAAGGATTTACAGCTAGATATGCTACTCATCCTCAAGTGGCTGACTACTTATGTTATCTACGTCAGACTAAAAATCTAAAAGGCTCAACCTTATCCTCTTATCTTGCAGCATTAAGCTCTGTCATAACTATTAGAACGGGTGTCAAGCTAACCAAGACCCCAGAGTTACTCGCCTTGCTACGAGCATTCCGATTGGAGGATCAGAAATAAAAATTTCACGCTCCAGCTTGGGATCTAAATATAGTGCTCCAACACCTCACAAGTGAGGCATATGAACCGTTAGAATCTACATCGTTTGAATTCTGACTCAGAAAACTTTGTTCCTGTTATCTCTAGCTACGGCTGCCAGGATGTCAGAGATTTACGCATTGGATTACGAGAGAACACGCTTTGATGATATTCATAACATCATGCATTTGGGACTACGTTGGGATTTTATCGCCAAGAACCAATTACCAGGTCAACCAGACAGGTTATTCCACGTCCCAGCTCTCTCATCTATACTTGGAGCTCATGATACGATGGATCTATCACTATGCCCAGTAAGAGCACTGAAAATATATCTCCACCGATCCAAACAGAGGAGGTAAAAATTCAAGAGATTATTTATTCCTCTATCAACAGCTACGCAGACTGAAGTCTCACATACTACTATCTCCATTTGGATCAGAACTGTCATACTACGTGCATGCAAGGCTGCAGGACTCGACCCTCCAAGAGCATCTCATCCTCATGAAATTAGAGAGCTAGCATCTACACTTGCTCTACACGGCAACTGCTCTTTGAATAGAATACCATAATGGAGGGTTGTTTCTGGAGATCCGATATGGTGTTTGCCAACCATTATCTGAGAGATATCACCAAGTACATCTCATGTATCCACCATTTCGGTCCCATGGTCCTCGCACAACAGTTGACAGTTCCTCGGAGAAGATAAGTCAATCTTACAGATTTACTACTTATCTTATAACAATACTAAATAGCTATATGCTATATATATTTTGCTTAAGTTCATTTATTATCTTAAGCTCAGTACTATGGTTGTTATATCATAACAATATATTAGCTAACAAACTCTACGGAGTTTTTGCTATTATATATTTAGCTTAAGTTTAATCATATCTTAAGCTCAGTATTATGGTTATATTATAAAGTATATTAGCTAACAAACTTTACGGAGTCTTTGCTATTATATATTTAGCTTAAGTTTAATCATATCTTAAGCTCAGTACTATGGTTATATCATAAAAGTATATTAGCTTACAAACTCTACTGAGTTTTTGCTATTATATATGTAGCTTAAGTTTAATCACATCTTAAGCTCAGTACTATAGTTATATCATAAAAGTATATTAGCTTACAAACTCTACTGAGTTTTTGCTATTATATATTTAGTTTAAGTTTAATCACATCTTAAGCTCAGTACTATGGTTATATCATAAAAGTATATTAGCTAACAAACTCTACGGAGTTTTTTTTTTTGCTATTATATATTTAGCTTAAGTTTTTTAGCTTAAGTTTAATCATATCTTAAGCTCAGTACTATAGTTATATCATGAAAGTATATTAGCTAACAAACTCTATGAAGTTTATGCTATCATATTGTCAAGCTTAAGTCTATTTAGTCTTAAGCATAGTATTCATGTTGTATATACTTTTATCATAATATTTATATTGTAATAACCCATATATGGCAGCTGATAAGTTAGCAGCAGGAATTCATCAATTCAGTGCCTTTATGAAGTTCCCATATGGGTTATTACAGTTATTACAGTACAAATCACTAATTATCTAAATCCAAAGTATTCTGTATTCCCACCTCCGTATCCGTCGGATTCTACAAGCAAGTAGCATGAGTCAGGATAAGGAAAAATATGTAATTTTCTGAATAAAATTGATATTTTATACTTATCCTGACTCATGAGGTAAGCCCTCCCGTCCTCCCCACATAACACTTTGGATTTCCCTGAAAATTCAAGTGTTGGGCTCGCTATATGAGGAGAGAGTGAGGCACATGGCAGGAGGTGGCGCCCTCATTCCCACGCTTTTGAGGGGACAGATAACTCGTGAGTACTAATTAGTGATTTTACATTGAAGGGAACTTCAATTGGGAGATACAAGTGTTCCACTGTGTTCGCAAGAAGAAGAAGACAAGCAAGTAGCATGAGTCAGGATAAGTATAAAATATCAATTTTATTCCGAAAATTATATTTTTACTTAAAAAATTACATTTTTAGCATGTTAATTTAATTAAAATCATATGTCCACTATAAATGTTTTCACCCTGATTATCTTCCATACAGGGCAGCCACTCAACCAAGGTAAAGGCAGTTGTCAGTTGTATCAAGAAAATATGCAAGGAGGACCAAACAGCCAAAGCTCTGATCTTCTCAACGGTTAGTGACCACTCATTTCTATTGTATGCTTGTTTCTTGTTGTCTCACAGGCTCTTGTCTGACATCCATTGTCAAGTGTCTTCTCTTGTAATCATCTGTCAGCAACAATCACTCGGATGATGAAGATGAAACATTGCATTCATGCTGCTCCCAGTGAAAGCCAGTGAGCTATCTTCAAGGAATAGACGAAGATATATTTCATTCTTTGCTATATGTGATCAGGAAGTGTTTTGATAAATACTTTGAGTGCTCCAATGCCCTCCCATTTTAGCATCAGCACAGAAGGTGGAGGTAATTCTTCAGGAAAAATTGTTTAAATTGTATCTGTAGCGCCAGTCTTATGGAACTTTGCCAAATGGTGGCAGTCAGAAATCAGCTCAGGTATGATAAGTCTGATTCCACAGACACATATTCAGAGTTGTTCCTCTGTCCCTAGAAAATTCTCAAGCCACTTCAACCCTTGCATCAGACATTCACTATGTTGCGGTATGGATAGATTTCTGACTACTTCCTCCATTAGTATGGACCCGTGAAGATCCGGGTTGGAATTGATCTTCAGCAACCCATGCTTGTTGTAAGAAGCGACTAACAGGATTGCGTGGTCAGGCTCGCTGACTTGGTTGACACATGTTATCATATCTCAATTGTGTAAACTGAAGCTCTTGAAGACTGCTGTCATGTCTCTAGAATACTGCTTAGCTAGGCATTAAACAACAAACAATCAATCATTTTATGGATTGTAGACACTATGTGGAAAGGACACTAAGTGCATTTATTTTTCCTTACCATCTTTAAATGCTTGCTGGTAGTAATCCAAAACGTCGGATGACATCCTCAAGTTAGAACATGTCTCCATGGCTCTCACTGGCAGCTGTGCTGTCACAGACATGATGTATAGAGGTCATGTTTGTGCCTGTCACTTCTTTGACATATTAATTATCTCAGTAGGTGTTGTTTGGATTTAGATAGATTTATTCCCAGAACCCAGGGTGTACGTAAGGCTTGTTCTGTCGCAGTTTCAGATTATGTGCATGAATGCAGTGTTTAAAACTCCCAAAATTCCAAGCCAGACAGCCGGACTGGTAACTTTAAAAATTACCAGTCCGGATACAAACTTGCCTGTCCGATTTTCAACAATTAAAAACTGTGACTGCCATTTCTATCTCACGCCCCGCCGTGATATTGCTGGAATATTGCTAAAAGCGGCGTAAAACTAAAAACTCAGTCAGTCTATCTCACGCAGTCTCCATTCACTGTTTGTAGGCATCGCAATGAACTCCATAGCACTAACAGGCAATGCACCAAGTTTATCGTAACATGAACTGTCCAATCGTAAGTAGTTTAACATAATTACCATAATACCTTAAACACCTCAAACTGATGACAAGAGAACCTGTCTGATATTATGAAATTTTTACTCCTAGGGGTAAAAATATCTACCAGACCACCGGACAGGCTGCTTTTGAAATTTGACCGTCAGAGATGAAAATAGACCGTTCCGGACAGTCGGGCAGGCGGGAATTTTTAACGCTCCTGAATGGATTGTTTGGGGTTCATATATTTTAGGAAATCCAACTGAAAGGCATCCTCGATAATCTCCAGGGTACATGTTACAATCACTCTCCACTATACCCTGGATGCATCCACGGCTTGCCCCGATGATGTTATTACCTCCCTTGGCTGGCTTTTCATCCAATCAGGTGTTTACACTGGGAAGTTGAGCGAGCCAATCACAACTCACTTTCGCTTCTTAAATTATCTAACCGTTTAAACTTGGCAACACAATTGATGCAGAGGTACTCTGAAAGATGTAGAAGGAGTTCTTTTATATATTTTTTGAAAGTTTCAGATCTGTCAATTTGTCTGTATTATTTCCCAAAAAATCTGAGTGGTACTGCCAACAAACTTTGCAACTGCGACCGCTATCTTTGTTGACACTCACCGGGTAATATCGGATGTAACGGCGTCTTAGCTGATTGGCTACGGTGAGAATGCGGAGCCAGCAAAGGGAGGTAATATTATTAAAATAAGCCTTGGATGCATCCAGGGTATAGTGGAGAGTGATCGTAACTTATACCCTGGCGATTATCGAGGATGATTGAAAGGGAGCTTGCACAAAATCTTTGTACCAGTAGTGACTTCTTTCGCTCCTTAAGGGTAATATTTTTGTGAGATTTTGCTAACTTACCATAATGAAGATACCCATATAACATCAGCTATGTTTTTGAAGTGAAAGTGTACTTGATAGCTGACACATTGGATCTTTGGTTTCATCAGAATATAAATTTATTGAGTTGTAGTACAACAGTTACTGTGATGTAGAAGTCTGGCAACTTCACTAACATATAGGTGTCCATTATATTTGCCAATCAAATCAAGTCTCCTTACATCCCTCACGCAACTGTCCTTTATTCCAAGTACAATACAATTCCTAGGGAAATAATCATGCAAGTAAGGCTCCAAACTCACACGATTCCCTCAACTGTAATACTCTTGTCAATCAGCTGTCTCGTACATATCCTGGTTAGCAGTGTTATAGACATGTGCCATTTTTTAGAAGGTTAAAGTGGTGCCAAAGTTCAGCCTGAATTGCTTTATTGCTTTTTCTGTCAGTGTTGTCTGGTGTCAATATAACAGTGGTTTTCAAAAATCATTCTACCTGCATGATTTTTAATTGCAAGTGACTTATTATTATATATTATTAATTATATTTTCGTAACTTTATGGCTGCTTGAGTATTTTTCTGTGATTTCTGCCTTAGTTTGTCTGCTTGTACTGTGGTGTGGTTTAGTTTGTATCAGAGCACAGTAGCACTTTGTATCATGATATTCTGTTTATCACCAGAAGGGACAAACTCTCATTGCACCTGTGCTACCAATTCCTCTTAATGGTTAATCTCATAAATTGTCTTCATTTCAGTGGCATGATGTGCTGGACGTTATAGCCAAGGCTTTGCAGCAAAACAACTTAGCTTTCAGATCCCTTCACATCGCAGGAAAGTTTCAGGTAGGGATGTTTACATGCATGTATATGACCCAAGTCCTTGGATTTAGCGTGCATGTTAATGTGCACTTAGTTTAGATATAGATTTTGTGAAGACAAATGTCTGAATGTCAAAACTGAACAAGACATTGTTATGGGCAGTGAGCCAAGGGCACAGCTTGTCAGGACCAGTGAAGGAAACAGCCAAAGCCACCAATAACAGCTGCCACCATTTTTATCCCCCGCAACACGTTTTGCGGGGGGTATAAAATTGGACTCCGTCCGTGCGTGCGTCCGTGCACATTTGTCTTTTCCGGAGCAGAACTCTAAAACCGTTCAATATTTCTTCACCAAACTTGGCACATAGATAGATCTCGTGGTGTACTTGTGCCTTTTGGTAGTTTTGGAATTCTGAATAAAATAGTTTTGGCATTTCCATGGCAACAAGTTCGACTTTGACTGAAATTAGTGGTAGGGCTCTTTGTCGGCGGAGAACTCTAAAACCGTTCAATATTTGTTCACAAAACTTGGCACATAGATAGATCTCGTGGTGTACTTGTGCCTTTTGGTAGTTTTGGAATTCTGAATAAAATATTTTCGTCCTTTCCATGGCAACAAGTTTGATTAAAACTGAAATTGGTGGTAGTGCTCTTTTCCGGAGCAGAACTCTAAAACCGTTCACTATTTCTTCACAAAACTTAATTTGGTGTGGTGGTGTACTGGTGCCTTTTGATAGTTTCGGATTTCTGAATAAAATATTTTGGGCATTTCCATGGTAACAGGTTTGACTTAGACTGGAATTGGAGCAGAACTTTAAAAACCTTTCAATACTCTCCTTCCACTTTTCTATATACACACCAAAACATTTGACATAATCATAACTCGTAGACATAATCATGAAGAGTATTTTGCCATTGCGGGGGATATTGATGACTTTGTCTTCTTGTTTACAGTTAACATTTCATTTTTCATTCATTTTTCATGTAACTGATTTAATGATCTAGTGACTAGTAAATAAAGAATTACTATGTACTAAGTTGTACGACACCCCATCGTTTTAGATGCCCTTGAGTTGGTACCTCCTGGGAGCACAGCTCTCCTGATACTCTGGGTAATGCAGGAGGCTTCAGTGTTGGGGAGTCTTCATATTCTGCGGAAAGTTCTTTTCATGGGTTTGATTTGGGAGAAGCTCCATTTGCTGTCTGGGGCAAGGGCCCTGAGCTAATTTTGAGCTTAACCAGCCTGACTCTGCCAGGATCACCCAAATCCTATTTGCCGCATCTTTATTTCAATCTGTAATAATAACCTTAAGTATAGCACTTTGTTTTTGCTTGATAATGTTTACATATGGAACAGTTTAGTGAGTCACTGTTTGATCCTGATGACTATGTTGACAGGTAATAGTTAAACTAAATTAAAACTGTCTTTGTCATGGGCCAGGCCTTGTCTTCGTTACTGACTAGTTTGTCAGTTTGTTTTCATTTGGCCCCTGAATAATGTTTATATTGTTTCTGGAACTATTTAATACATAAATGTGAACTTCAACTGGAGTGGATCAAAGTGGGCTATCAACTTGCATCGTGATTGAAGTAATTGGTGAAACTGATTAAACAAGTGTTGATACATTTGTGTGCAGAAACTATAATGCCTGCCTTTTATTCTGCCTTCCTGCCTGCCTACGTCTTGATAAATTATCCCAAAAAGTCATGGTCTGACCGTCTCAGGAAATCTGTGTGAGTGAGTGAGTGTGTGAGTGAGACACCTTTTGGAGCAGTATTCCAGTTATATCAGGACCAGTCAGTTTGATGTGAGAGGAAAGCCCAAAGGTTTTCAGATGGTTTCCACCTTGGTGCTGACAAACACAGGTACCCTGGTGAACTGGGAACCCAACTCAGGGCAGAGGCAGGATAAGTCATCTGAAGCAGACCAGATGCATGGCTGTAACAACGAAACTAATGTGTTTTAGGTCTTCCAAATTCCTGGTTTATAAGTAGTATATGGAAATTACAGTTACAGTAGTGGCATTACGCCTGTCCAGTGTGAAATGTTGGATTCAGGTCTTGGTGTTGGATGTCTCACAAACATTATACAATTGTAATGTGACAGTAGTGGAGGATTATACAATTGTAATGGGACAGTTGTAGAGCATTATATAATTGTAATGGGACTGTTGTAGAGCATCATACAATTGTAACGTGACAGTTGTAGAGCATTATACAATTGTAATGGGACAGTTATAGAACATTATACAATTGTAATGGGACAGTTGTAGAGCATCATACAATTGTAACGTGACAGTTGTAGAGCATTATACAATTGTAATGGGACAGTTATAGAACATTATACAATTGTAATGGGACAGTTGTTGAACATTATACAATTGTAATGGGACAGTTGTAGAACATTATACAATTGTAATGGGACAGTTGTAGAGCATCATACAATTGTAACGTGACAGTTGTAGAACATTATATAATTGTAATGGGACAGTTGTAGAACATTATACAATTGTTATGGGACAGTTGTAGAGCATCATACAATTGTAACGTGACAATTGTAGAACATTATACAATTGTAACGTGACAGTTGTAGAGCATTATACAATTGTAATGGGACAGTTGTAGAGCATCATACAATTGTATCACTACAATTGTAATGTGACAATTGTAGAACTTTGTAGAGGATTATACAATTGTAATGTGACAGTTGTAGAGGATTATACAATTGTAATGTGACAATTGTAGAACATTATACAATTGTAATGTGACAGTTGTAGAGGATTATACAATTGTAATGTGACAGTTGTAGAGGATTATACAATTGTAATGTGACAGTTGTAGAGGATTATACAATTGTAATGTGACAGTTGTAGAGGATTATACAATTGTAATGTGACAGTTGTAGAGGATTATACAATTGTAATGTGACAGTTGTAGAGCATCATACAATTGTAATGTGACAGTTGTAGAGGATTATACAATTGTAATGTGACAGTTGTAGAGCATTATACAATTGTAATGGGACAGTTGTAGAGCATCATACAATTGTAATGGGACAGTTGTAGAGCGTCATACAATTGTAATGGGACAGTTGTAGAGCATTATACAATTGTAATGGGACAGTTGTAGAACATTATACAATTGTAATGGGACAGTTGTAGGGCATCATACAATTGTAACGTGACAGTTGTAGAACATTATACAATTGTAATGGGACAGTTGTAGAGCATTATACAATTGTAAGATCAACAAGTCAGATGATGATGCCTCACCAGGTTTGATTCAAACTGGATTGAAGACGTGAAACTATCACGTGTAGCATGAAAAAGCTGTTGCTCAAGTATAGGAACTAGATGCCAATTCAATTTCAGTTTGGTAAAAGATTTTTTTGGTGAAATTTTAATAATGTGGGGAACGTGTTCTAAGACATAGAGGTTATCATGCGGGTGTGTTAGGGATAATAGTTTTCCTGTATAAGGAATAAACATTGATTTTTTGTGAGATTTCCCCTCATTCACTGTATTTCATGTTCTGTTGCAGCAAAACCTCAGAGAATTTAAAGAAGACGTGAATGTAACATGTCTACTGATACCCCTTCACTTGGGTTCCAAAGGGTTGAATCTTATAGAGGCTACTCATGTTTTGCTGGTTGAACCTATTCTCAACCCAGCTGAGGAATTACAGGCTGTTGGCAGAGTTCATAGGATAGGCCAGACGAAGTAAGTATTGTACACAGCAGTAATGTGGAACACAAAAGTTCTTTCTGTCTGTGAATGTTATAAAATACCAGTCAGCAATATTTCACAGTGATGTGTAGATAGTGAAGTCTACATCGGACACACTGGTGACTGAAAACATGAAGACCCACACGAGTTGGGTATGATCACTGTTCCATAATCCTCTGATTCAGTCAATATTATTGACGTCATAGGTCACACTTTGATGACAGGGCTAGATAGAATTCAACTAAATTGATAATTCTTGCAAATACAAAACCTCCATTTCCTCAGTACCATAACTCTTGTATTTATGTATTGCTATCATCATACTTTAATCATTGCATAGAGTGATGTTTCGGTGTAGATTCTTTCACCATTTCAAGCTAACAGTCTTTAAACTTGAAAACAGTGTAAGAATCTACACCAAAGCATCGCTCTTTGCAATGAACAAGAAGTTATTATCCATAAAGTCGTATGCTTTATTAGGCATGGTTGAAGTTGACTGACAGTAACTGGCCTAATGACTTGGCAAATCATATTATCTGTCAAGCAAAAGGTATATTGCTGTCTACCTTAAGGATATTCAACCAGACCTGTATTGTATTGTAACCATTCTTGGTCTGGTTGTTACACCAGTCAGTCACTTCCATACTGTGCAAGGTGTACTTCCTGCGACAGCAGCTTGAGAAAGTTAGTGTATCTTTTGTACTGGTTCTAATAGGAGTAGACATGAAGGACATAAGTTCATCAGTCGGACATATTGGTGTGGGATATGATGGTATCAGAACCTGAAGTGATGTAATAGGAGTCACAATCTGAAGAATTATGTGAGCTCAGAAGGCTACGGAAATACATTAGTGGGGACTTGGACCTGATAAAAAGTAAGTTAGTTGGAGTCAATATTCTGGATTTAGACCTTTTGAGATGATTTCAGGTTTACATGCACTTAATTTTGGTCAAATAATCTGGAATGATGGTTTGAAACAATTATGTACCCCAAAGTATTGAATGTAGTGGAATGAAACAATTGGGATCAAAATAAGTAATTCTGGGTATATCTTCCACTTACATTATAAAACTGTTAGCTATCCTATGTATTACTAGGTTTAAAAACCCAATTATCCCTTAGGTATGTTCCTGTAATGATGTAGTAGAGTTTTTTATATTCAGAAGAATTAATGAATCCAAAATGCTTACCACTCTAATTCAAAGAATACTTCTTCCATTACATCAGGAGTTATTCTATTCACCTTCCCATTATTCTGGATCTATTGTAGATGTTGCAAAGAAGTTTTTCCTGTCTGGTGCTTGTCTTGAAGGGAGACACTGCTAGTGACACAACTAATTATGTATTGCTGACAGTGAAGAGTGTCGTAATTTTCACATTCAGTGTAGTGATCATAACCAAAATTCTTTCAGTTCTTTGACTTGGTTGAGAGCGTGTCATTGGTTCCTGATTGCGCAGATCGATGCTCATGCTGTTGATCACTGGATTGTCTGGTCCAGACTCAATTATTTATAGACTGCCGCCATATAGCTGGAATATTGCTGAGTGCAGTGTAAAACTCAACTCACTCACTCACTCACTCACTTTCAGTTCTTTGAATTATTTGAAAAGTACTTTTTGATTTCTTAGTATGTCCTTATGAAAGCTGGGACATAGGGGACTAGTGCTTGTTATTCTATGAAATATGAGGCATATTGTTTTGTGTATTTTCAGGTCTACACACATTCACAAGTTCCTTGTTCGTGGAACTATTGAACAAAGAATCAATAGCATGGTCAAGTCAATGTCAACTTCTGATACAGCTTATAGTGGTGAAGATCATACAATGACAATTGGTGACTTGGCAGCACTTTTTACTGAAGTTAACACAGAGGTAGAAACAGAAAATGCAGCACCACCTATAGAGGAAGAAGGCAGTTTTCTAGGCACTCTAAATGAACCAATTCAAAGATCCAGCAACTTGTTGGGAGGCCTGGTTTCAGTTGCAAGCTCTATGATGCATGAACTGCTCCCTGGCACAAGCTCTATGATGCATGAACTGCTCCCTGGCACAAGCTCTATGATGCATGAACCACTCCCTGGCACAAGCTCTATGATGCATGAACCACTCCCTGGCACAAGCTCTATGATGCATGAACTGCTCCCTGGCACAAGCTCTATGATGCATGAACCACTCCCTGGCACAAGCTCTATGATGCATGAACTGCTCCCTGGCACAAGCTCTATGATGCATGAACCACTCCCTGGCACAAGCTCTATGATGCATGAACCACTCCCTGGCACAAGCTCTATGATGCATGAACCACTCCCTGGCACAAGCTCTATGATGCATGAACCGCTCCCTGGCACAAGCTCTTTGATGCATGAACCACTCCCTGGCACAAGCTCTGTGATGGATGAACTGCTCCCTGGCTCAAGCTCTGTGATGGATGAACCGCTCCCTGGCACAAGCTCTCTGATGGATGAACCACTCCCTGGCACAAGCTCTGTGATGGATGACCTACTTCTAAGAACCAAGACAGATGATCCAGTTGCTGAAATCAAATATATGAAAGAGGACATGCTCGAATACAGCTCCGTTGAGGATGACTTTGTTCCTGAAACATACATCCCAGAAGATGAACAGCATTCTGGAGCAAGGTGTGTGCTTGGTGACATAGTTTGTAAACCAAGTACCACACCTGGGGTGCAAGTTCCTGAAACAGGCATCATAGAAGATGCCCCAGTCCCTGAAATAAGCGACATAGTAGATGCCCCAGTGTCTGAAATAAGCACCATGGTAGATGCCCCAGACCCTGAAATAAGCACCATAGTAGATGCCCCAGTCCCTGAAATAAGCACCATAGTAGAAACCCCAGCCTCTGAAATAAGCATCATAGTAGATGCCCCAGGCCCTGAAAAAAGCACCATAGTAGATGCCCCAGTCCCTGAAATAAGCACCATAGTAGAAACCCAACCTCTGAAATAAGCACCATAGTAGATGCCCCAGTTCCGGAAACAAACTCATAGCAGATGTCCAAGTTCCTGACACAAACACCATAATAAGTTTGCCAGTTACAGAAGCAAGCTTCATAGCTGATGCCCCAGTTCTTGAAACAAGCATCATAGTAGATGCCTCAGTTTGTGATGCAAACACAATAGTAGATTCCTCAGTTTGCTGGGCAGCCACTATAGTAGATGCCCCAATCATTGAAATATATACCATTAGTAGATGACCCAGTGATGTGATCTAGGAAGAAACACAATGGTAGATGCCTCAGTCCCCGAAACAAGCATCATAGCTGATGCCCCATTCCTGGAACAAGCACCATAATAGATGACCCGTTTCCTGAAACAAGCGTCATAGTAGATGATGAAACAAGCACCAAGGTAAAGGTCCTAAAACAGGCACTGTGGATGATGACCATATACTGGAAGCATATCTGTAACTGTTTCCAAAGTGAACCTGTAGTTTAGCAGATTGAAATCAGCAAGTAGTAAATGTTACCATGTGATTCTTCTGATGTTCAATGGAATGAGTGAAGATATTTGTGGGAGTTCAATTTTTCCAGAGTATTGTTTTGATTCATCATGTACTGATCATTTGTGGGTTTTTTGTCATGAGTTGTTGTCATATAAATTATTATTTAAATACTGGCAGCTGACAATATCTGAAATTGATGAATTAACAAAACATTATTGTTAAAACAAAAAATGATTAATAAATGTTGTGATGAACTACATAGCCTTGTGACTCTGTTAAGTGGCCCTCTGTTAATGGGTGGTTTAAGACTTTGTCAGAATATGGCTGCTGCCATAAACCCCACCGTGTTTATATAGGATATGCCAAATGTGTATACCAGACCTAGAAAAAGTCATGAATGATGCTATTTCATCTTTGTTAGGCTACCTGGAATTATGGGAAGCCTTTTGAAATGTTTTTGAAAAAAATCATCTGAAAATGGAAGATCACCTGCTTGTTCACCACATGTTGTTGTATATACATTGAAAACCAAATTCCACCATTAAAATGGTAACTGTAAAATATTTTACTTTGATAAACACAAAACTGAAAGAGAAATTTGGTAACAACTTACTTGCAATCTGAGATGCAATAAAAGACGTGGATGTATTCTCTAAAGAAATGATAGTTTTAGTGAACATCTGAAGTGTCCAGCCTATCCTGTTTGTGGTATACCCATGTCACATACCGGTATACGTTGTTTACAGCAGAAGGGTGACTTTGTGTATTTATAAACATCTGATAGCTACAGAATCATTGTGTGCTGTTCACATTGTTTAAAGAAAACGTGTGTGACATGTGTGACATGCCCCCAAGAAACACGCACACATCCAAGTTGTGCATTAGCGTGCACGTGCAAATTGTGAACCATTTTAAAGTAGAAATATCTTCATGAAAATGTGTTGAAAAAGATGCATTTCTGAACATGAAGCATGGAAAGTTTTTCTGCTTTTTCTATTTACCTTTGTATCAGGAAGAATATGTTCCAAATCTCCAGGATTTGACGCCTTCACTTAAGCTCTCAATAGAATTTTCAAAATGGTGTAGAATAGAATGTTTTCAGTGCCATGACCACTGATGGAAGTGTGGTTCTGGTCGGAGTTGAGGCAGGTTGTCTGCTGGTGGAAGTGTGGTTCTGGTGGGAGTTGAAACAGGTTGCCTGCTGGTGGAAGTGTGGTTCTGGTGGGAGTTGAGGCAGGTTGTCCACTGGTGGAAGTGTGGTTCTGGTGGGAGTTGAGGCAGGTTGTCTGCTGGTGGGAGTTGAAGAAGGTTGTCTGCTGTCTGAGTTGAGGCAGGTTGAGTGAGTGAGTGAGTTTAGTTTTATGCCACACTCAGCAATATTCCCGCTATATGGCGGCGGTCTGTAAATAATCAAGTCTGGGGCAGACAAACCAGTAATCAACATCATGAGCATCGATCTACGATCTACGCAATTGGAAACTGATGACGTGTCTACCAAGTCAGCGAGCCTGACCACTCGATCTCGTTAGTCTCCTCTGAAGCATGGGTTACTGAAGACCAATTTTAATCCAGATCTGCAGGTTGAAGGGTTTTCGATGGATTCATATTTGTTGTCAGGTGTAGACGACTCTGAGACTTCTGAATTAGAGAAATTTGTTCTCACGAATTGTTTTGAGAAAAGAGAGGGGAAGGGTTCGACGTGCTTGTAATAATGAAATGTTCCTTTATGTCCTCTACTGACTCTTGCGACATCTTGTTTCACAACGTAATGAAATGTGTGATATATTTAGAAAGATTCAACACACATAGTTCATCCTTTTAAGTATTGTAAAATTGCACCTTAATCATGCCATTATATTCTCTGAGAATAATGTCTCTGTAATCTCTGAAATTGACAGACTGAGGAAATTTTCCGTTCAATCCTGTATTTATGGAGAAACTGTTTGATTAACAATACGGTCATCAAACTGTATTAAGAGGCAGTCTCATATGATAATTCATCTGTTGACTATACATCCAGGTGAGCTACAGTCATTTTACAGTTTGACTTTATGGATGATTACAATCAGTTATTCCTGTTAGCGATTACAAATCATAGACTTGCAGGTAAATGGATGTGTTGTGTACATCTACATTTATACCGATAATGCCTGCCTGTCCATCTTCAGACAAATTATGACCAGTAGTAAGTAACATCAAGAAATACATTTTGCATATAGAGCATCTGCAGCTGGAACACATCTTCTTCCGACAACATTTTCCATTGACTATAATGCGTCAGTTCAAAGGAATACCCAAATTGACTATCCCTAAAAACAGATTTTGCTGTAAAGAGAAAATGAAAATTTGAAATGTGATAATTGCATGATTGGACCTTGTCCTGACCTAACGGTAGCACCCGCCATTCACTCGATTTGCCTGCAACAGTATGTTTTTATTGCTTGATGCTACACATAAGTTCTACTACTACTACTACTACTACTACTACTGTGACAACGGCCTGTAAACAAACCACACAGTCAAGTGATGGATGGACCGGCAAATCCACTCTGATATCTTTCATGCTGTGTAAATGCAAATGATATGAAGCTCTGATAAAACAGTGGCGTCACCACTCTCCCGTCTCAACAAAAAGTACAATAGTAAAATGGCAAATCTGAACCTTGCATATCACATTGGAAATCGTATCTAATTCAAATTAAACGTCTGCTACCAGCAATGATATGTTCCAAGTGTGAATGTAATTTTGCTTACGCTAAATAAAATCCATTCCTTACCTTTAACACGTCTTCAATGTCAAGTATTTTGCTCAGTTCTCGTACATATTTTTCTCTTTTGTCCAAGAATCTGTGATGTGATGAGAACATTTCGCCTCCCCTTTCTCGTTATGTATTCCTATCATGGACTGAACATTTTCCAAAACTCTTAAGCCAAACAGATGAAAGGTGATCAGCGAGGAATGGAAAGTAAACTGGTAACTAACAAAACGTAATATGTGTTATGTGTGTGACTACTCTTTCTCAGTAAATTACAGAATCTAGTACTTTTTTTGGTTTTGAGTCTCGACAGAAACTCGAACTCATACACTTAGTGGGGCATTCTAAATGGCATTGTGTATTCGTAACAAATCAAAGTTGTTCACATAACTCAAATGGCCAGTTTTGTTTTTTGAAAATGTAATCTTCCCGTGTTTATTTAGACTACGCACAGACACATTCTTTTTGAAATTATTTTTTATCCATTTCATTCTACTTATCATATTCTAGTGCTTTACATTCATATGGATATAGTGACATTTTCGAAACAATATCAGCTATATCCTATCAGCTTGGTCAACTAGTTACTAATTAATTAGAATCTAATTAGCCGGTTCAACTATTTTCTAATTAATTAGGGTCCAATGAGCTGGTGCGACTATTTACTAATTAATTAGGGTCCCATAAGCCGGTGCAACTATTTACTAATTAATTAGGGTCCAATGAGCTGGTTCAACTATTTACTAATCATTTAGGGTCCAATGAGCTGGTGCAACTATTTACTAATCAATTAGGGTCCAATGAGCTGGCGCAACTATTTACTGATCAATTAGGGTCCATTGAGCTGGTGGAACTATTTACTAATCAATTAGGGTCCAATGACCTGGTGCAACTTAATCATTTAGGGTCCAATGAGCTGGTGCAACTATTTACTGATTAATTAGGGTCCAATGAGCTGGTGGAACTATTTACTAATCAACCACGGTCCAATGAGCTGGGGCAGCTATTTACTAATCAATTAGGGTCCAATGAGCTGGTGCAACTATTTACATATCAATTATATACTTCTTAGTACTCCGGCTTCATAACGCTGTAAGAATCTACATCGTCTCTAAACGCGACAAACAAGCAAACGTTTATCGGTGAAGTCTAGAATGTAAATGAAACAGTTTGTATCATCCAAAACTGTGTTCCACAGGAGATATCGCTTGTGTGAGATCATATGATATCTCCTAGGAGCTATCGTTTTGACAGTAGATGTTGTACAATGCCCTGACAATGCTATGACATCATCAACTTGCTATGACATCGCTGCAATGCAAGTCTAATGGGTAGTTCAATGTTGAGAGATGTACATTTGTCATTGAAAACTAATGAAGAATGATTTTTGATGATAAATAGAATCTCAACCTCGTGTCTACTGATATCAATTGCATCAACACTGGATGATAAAGGTAAAAATATCGTCGGCAAGCCTCGGATATTTGTAACTTTATCAACTCGTGTTGATATAATTGATGTCAGTAGACACTTGGGTGAGATTCTCTATATACCAAAACTTAATGCGAGAGGAATCCCAACCCAAAGCACGTCTTACCGTATGACAAGGACAATATTCTTGGGACATCGAATTTGAAGGACCTACCCACACCAATACAAGCACGGAGCTTTCTCGAGTATTCATGTTATACTTGACATAATGTACATGACAACAAAACAGAAATCAACATTAAGAATAGCGTAATATCACTATGGGACACAATCACCGATGTATTTCTTCAGGCACGCGCACAAGCATACACACGCACACAGGCACAGACACATTGTAGTATACTATTTCTGGAGAAGTAACTGGCGTTTAATGTCATCGAAGCGTACGTAAACGGTCTTGTTGAAAGGAAAACGTGTCTCTCATGACTAATAACTTCACATAAACCAAAAGATAAATACATAATTTGCAATTCTTACGCATACGCCCCATCGTCCATCACCATAGACCGATCTAGGCGTAATTGTTTTCAGAAATGGCGGTGTGTTAAGAAATGTGTTATTGTGTTAATGTTGTAAAAACGTGGCTGCACAGGCATCTAATGTAGTAAGTGTAATATATAATGTGTTTAAAAGAGACAGTTTTATCATTTGAATGCATTAGTTTTTTTATTGTAAAATAACCCCGATAATATTGTACACTGCGGGAATTTGGGGCGGTAAATATATCATGAATGTATTGGAAAAGTCCAAACGTCTTATTTTAAGACATTTCTTACTGTTGAGAAATATGCCTCTAATAAAGTAATTCTTGGTGAAGTTGGTATTTGTAACATGTTTGTAGCGAGTAGAATAAGAATGTTAAACTATTGGATGAAGCTTATAAGAATGAGGGACCGTGGGGTAGGCTAGTGGTTAAAGCGTTCGCTCGTCACGCCGAAGAGGCGGGTTCGATTCCCCACATGGGTACAATGTGAAAAGCCCATTTCTTGTGCAGCCTGTCGTGAAATTGCTGGA